TTGGTGCCATTTTTTGACTTCCTAAGAACTGGATCAACCATTTGATTTGCCAGTGACTTCAGAGCACCCATGCCGCCAGAGTAGTTCAAGTAGACGCCACCGTTGCCGTTGATGGCAGGTGTGGCACACGGTGAGTAGATGTCGTGGGGCATGGAGTTGGGAGAGCCGTTGAAGTGGCTGTGCAAGGAGCCAAGCCTGAGGAGTTGGCTGATGGCTTCTAAGAGGTTGTTGTTTTTTAAATGTGTCATCAGTTCGAGTTGATCTTTTTCACTGATTCCTTCTTCACATTGTTGTTCATCCATCTGTGGTTGCTGCTGTTTTTGCTGTGGCTGTAGTTGTGGCTGTTGTTGTGGTTGCCGCTGATCTGGTCTGTCAGCAGTGTCATCTGATTTTATTGGTGTGTTGTTAGATGCAGCAACAACAGAAGTACTTGGCACTTCAACTTTCTGTGACCTGACAGCTTTCTCGTTCTCTGTTGCATTCATTTTATACTCTTTCATTTTTTTAATTTCAAATTCATCATGTTGATAATGGCAAAATCTTTCAACAAAAACGACAATGAAAATGCGTTTAAAATTAAAAACTCGACAGGCTTACAAAACATTTTCAGTCTATGATATTCAGATCAATTATCCTTAACCTACCGTTGGCAAGATTCTTCATAAAACTTCCAACATTCTGAGTAACGTTGTTTGCATTTTCCTCGGAAATGAGTCGGTCAAATAAAATTCCCTTAGCAGCTGATGGCTTCTGGAAAAATCGTTTCGGAATTTCCCGCTTTTCATTGGCTATATTTTCACTGCTGGAAAAACCCAAGTTTTGTAGAATCGTTTTCGCATCACCTCTTTTGCTACTCAATACCTGAGACAGATTGGCACTGTTAGGTCTGTCGGGGTGGTGGTGGTGATGGGTGGGTGGTGTTAAAGTTGGTGATCATTGTTTGTGATGATTGAAGTGATGGAAACGAACATTACAACTACATTATGAGAACAGTTTCTTCTAACATCACAAAAACTGACTGCATCATCATCGTTATCATCGTCGTCATCATCATCATCATCAATATCATCACCGCTGACCTTTCATGGTCACATGATGACCAGGTCACGTCAGCATATTTTTTCCTCATGATGTCCGCAAACAAGTTTGACTCTGAATTGAACCTTTTGCTAGGGCTACGTTTATGTGATAATGTGCTATAGTTATTCATTCGTTTATTTATTCGTTTATTCATTCGTTCATTCATTCGTTCATTCATTCGTTCACTCACTTACTCACTCACTCACTCACTCATTCATTCATTCATACATCCATTCATTCAATCATCCATTCATTCAATCATCCATTCATTCATTCAATCACATAAAAATAAATGAACGAACGAGCCAAATATATAGTACTTATAAATGGAATAATTTTAAAAATCTCCAAGAACTGAACAACTATGAAAAATTTTTACTCACTACACGTTTCATAAAAGTTTATTATATAGTAACATCGTAAATATCTAGAAAGATGTTTTTATTATTCTCGTCAATATCATAACAGTAATAAAAGTTTATGGAAGAATTTCGTTACGATAAACAACATGCTTTCATTCATTCATTCGTTTATTCATTCATTAATTCATACGTACGTTCATTCGTTCATTCATTCATTCATTCACTGATTTGATTGATTGATTTAATCGTACATCCGTTCATTTACTCACGAATTCATTCAATCAATCATTTATCCAATCATTCATTCATTCATTCATTCATACATTCTTGAACTTTGATTTTTATATTCATACATTGGCACGAGTAACCAAATGAAACTTACAGATAACGAAACGGTAAAAGTCTGACAGCAACAGGTGATTGTAATAATGTTAAATTGAAAATTTATCGACACGAGAACTACAAAATGCTTAAGTGATAAGCTGAAATAACAATGTAACAAAACGAAAAATAACAAGGTGCCTGAAAAAACTGGCTATGTCGAAGCTACTCAAATGATCAGTAAGCCATGAAGATGTGATAAGATATTTATATCCAAATGAGTGAATATTTGAATAAACATGCAAATGAATATGTTAATTAATATGCAAATAAAAATCATACAACAGCAACAACAACGTTAACCGTAGTAACAACACAAACAACGACAACGTTAACCACAACAACAACCCAAGTAGCAGCAACAACATCAAAAACAACAGCCTCTATAAGCATTATGAACAAATGAACAAAATCAAAATCATAGTTAGAGGTATAAAAAAATTTTCCTCAGCTGATAATTAAATTAAAAATGTTTAAGTGCATCACCACAACATTTAAATTGAATTGATAATATTTATTTGTATGTGTGTGTGTGTGTGTGTGCGCGCGTAGGATGTATTTGAAGTCTTCATATTATACGTTTGTGCATGTGAATATGAGTATATGTATGTATAAAATCATTAAAATGAAATAAATGAATCTACGCAGAACTTTGTAACGTTAATTGTATTGTATTGTATTATGTGTAACACTACACATAATACAATACAATACATATAAAAGCACATACAATGTACATACAATACACACACACACACACATTACGCATACAATAGACACATAATATACACGCACATCCAACACACACACACACTCCAACACATCACAACTTTGACATTCACGTTATCAAGCCTATCAAGTCCTATTCATCTGCAATTTTCACTAGCTAAACTCACACAAACACACACAAACACAAATAAACACGTTCTTTTATGAAGATATATATATATATATATATATATATATATTTATATATTTAATATATATATAATATATATTTTTATTTATATGATTATAAATTATGTATATACAAGATAAATATATGCATTCAGGCACTTAGCATATTCACCACTGTCTTCATTGTGTAGGTTAATGTTATTTATGATGAAGCAATTTGAACTAAAGAAGATAGAGGAATAGAGAGTTAAGCGGGGAGAACAATGCAACACAATAAAGTATATATATATATATATATATATATATATATATATATATATATATATATATATTTATATTTAGGAACGAGGTTTTCAGAAATGCAAATTTCATTGAAATTGTTTGCCCATTTTGCATTAATTAACTTCTTTATAAGACATTCAACGAGGCGGTATTGTTTGAGTTCATATTTATCTAAAACTGGAATAAAGCTAACAGCGCTGTTTCGGCGTAATGCCATCTTCAGAGTCTAAATATTGTTTAAACATATAATTTAATTAAAATAAATGTCTAATGTAAAATGTGAAAATATAGAAAATAAAATAAAATATTA